CACCTCAAATTAAGTAAAGATTGCAGGAGAAAAAGAGGTGAAAGTAGAAGCAGGGGGGAACCAAGAAAATTAGGCAATTTTGGGCCCTCAAACGTGATGCAGTGTCCGCAAATGGATCTATTAATGGTTGTATAGAAATAGCGGCATGTGGAATTGCAGAGAAATGAAGTATGGTTATCGAAACACAAAGTGAACAACAGACATCCAAAATGCAAATGGCTATGGTAACTCAAATACCACTTTTCTCCTGCTTCTCCACTTGCTTTCTTTGTATTCACGATATCTAACCTATTAAGTGATCTCAATGATAAAAAGAATATTATTCTTTTTAAAAGTCTCAAGTTCGAACATTTATATTTATAGAAGTGTGTATGTTAACAATAATTTGAAATGATTTTTTTTTAAAGAAATCACTAATTTTATTAAAAATAAGAAATATCCTAAATTATAATAAATATTTACGATCATAATCGTAAATTAAGCATATAATTACGACCATTTCCTATAATCATTGAAACAAAACTAATAACTTAAGATTACATAGGCACCATACAAGGAAAGATTAAATTCTAACCAAGAAAACTCGAACAAAGATAGATATAAACAGATCTAATCGCATCAGCAAACGAACCACAAAAGGAATCAAACTACTAAAAGCCCACCGAAAAACCATAATTCGGACTCAAACGACGCGAAAAACTATCCACGAACGCATAACATGTATCCAAATACAATCCGATGGTCTAAAGCAGGAAAGATAAACAATATAACAGATAAACCTCATTTTGATAAGTCGTGGCTATATTTCATCAATCCTTAAAAAAAGATAAATGAAAACAACAACCAAACGAATAAAAAATAATATATAACAAAAAACAATAACAATTAACCATCTTCGTTTTAATTATATCATTATAGAAAACCTTCCGAACATCGTAAAACGTTTTTCAGAAAATGTTTTTCAGAAAAATATAATTCATTTTTCGGAAAATATTTTCCTGAAAACGTTTTCCATAAATGTAATTCATTTTCCAAAATTCAATTTTAAAAAAATCAATTACAGCCAAACAAATAGATCATTGGTTTACGTCAAATATTTTACTAATTTGAAACATTTATATTTATAGAAGTGTGTATGTTAACAATAATTTGAAATGATTTTTTTTTAAAGAAATCACTAATTTTATTAAAAATAAGAAATATCCTAAATTATAATAAATATTTACGATCATAATCGTAAATTAAGCATATAATTACGACCATTTCCTATAATCATTGAAACAAAACTAATAACTTAAGATTACATAGGCACCATACAAGGAAAGATTAAATTCTAACCAAGAAAACTCGAACAAAGATAGATATAAACAGATCTAATCGCATCAGCAAACGAACCACAAAAGGAATCAAACTACTAAAAGCCCACCGAAAAACCATAATTCGGACTCAAACGACGCGAAAAACTATCCACGAACGCATAACATGTATCCAAATACAATCCGATGGTCTAAAGCAGGAAAGATAAACAATATAACAGATAAACCTCATTTTGATAAGTCGTGGCTATATTTCATCAATCCTTAAAAAAAGATAAATGAAAACAACAACCAAACGAATAAAAAATAATATATAACAAAAAACAATAACAATTAACCATCTTCGTTTTAATTATATCATTATAGAAAACCTTCCGAACATCGTAAAACGTTTTTCAGAAAATTTTTTTCAGAAAAATATAATTCATTTTTCGGAAAATATTTTCCTGAAAACGTTTTCCATAAATGTAATTCATTTTCCAAAATTCAATTTTAAAAAAATCAATTACAGCCAAACAAATAGATCATTGGTTTACGTCAAATATTTTACTAATTTGAAACATTTATATTTATAGAAGTGTGTATGTTAACAATAATTTGAAATGATTTTTTTAAAGAAATCACTAATTTTATTAAAAATAAGAAATATCCTAAATTATAATAAATATTTACGATCATAATCGTAAATTAAGCATATAATTACGACCATTTCCTATAATCATTGAAACAAAACTAATAACTTAAGATTACATAGGCACCATACAAGGAAAGATTAAATTCTAACCAAGAAAACTCGAACAAAGATAGATATAAACAGATCTAATCGCATCAGCAAACGAACCACAAAAGGAATCAAACTACTAAAAGCCCACCGAAAAACCATAATTCGGACTCAAACGACGCGAAAAACTATCCACGAACGCATAACATGTATCCAAATACAATCCGATGGTCTAAAGCAGGAAAGATAAACAATATAACAGATAAACCTCATTTTGATAAGTCGTGGCTATATTTCATCAATCCTTAAAAAAAGATAAATGAAAACAACAACCAAACGAATAAAAATAATATATAACAAAAACAATAACAATTAACCATCTTCGTTTTAATTATATCATTATAGAAAACCTTCCGAACATCGTAAAACGTTTTTCAGAAAATGTTTTTCAGAAAAATATAATTCATTTTTCGGAAAATATTTTCCTGAAAACGTTTTCCATAAATGTAATTCATTTTCCAAAATTCAATTTTAAAAAAATCAATTACAGCCAAACAAATAGATCATTGGTTTACGTCAAATATTTTACTGTTGTATTATTATATTACAGAGTCCGCCATTGATATGCACATGTAGCTAACAATTTCTATTAAGGATGAGAACAACATGCCATTGGTGGAAGCATGAACCCAAGCATTAAGAGTGAAGCTAACATTTTCGTTGCACCAAATGAAGAAGAGCAAAGATGCAATCCCTAGCACTATATTATCAATTATTGCTTTGCATACAAACTATTTACCACAAAAATATTGAACCCAAATTATTATTTTTAAATAGGAGACCTGGAGAAAAGACGAGAAGACAAATAAAGCATTATAAAAATTCTATTCAGTGGGAGATGTTTTTAAAAATGGAGCCATTTTCAATAAGCAAACATGTGTGGGTGGAGCAAAACCGAATTATAATAAAGAGCGGAGTTTTAAGGTTGACAATGCTGGATATAGGGGTCAATGTTAGGTCGGATCGAGTCGAGTCGAGTAAAAAATTTTGAGTTATTCGAGTTGATGAGTCTTATTTTATATCTCGAACTTGACTTAAAAATTTTTCTAGTCTCTGTTTAAGTCTAATTATAAATATTTATAATATTATGATATTATTTGATTCAAATTTAAATATTTTTTTATTACCATATACAATATATATATATTTCTTCATAATTTTTTTTCATTTGTGATATACATATATCATACAAATTTGAGGGATTCGGCTCAAACTTAAAAATCAATTACTAAAATTTTGAATTATTCTATTTGTATTTTATAACTCAAATTGAACTTGAAATTTTTTTGAGTCAAGTTGAGTTTATGAAATTATAACTCGAAGTTAATTTGAGTCGAGTTATTTCGAGTAGAGTCGAATCGAAAAAATCAATTTTTTGTGTCGAGTCAAATTTTGTTCATTCCTAACTAGATCAGTCAGAGAACTGATAAGTGCATCCAGTGTTTTAAAATGCTCTAGAACTTTGGCATGTTAAGTTCAAATGAGAAAATATTAATTACTTGGTGTTATATTTGGCTCAAATTAACCAGAGATATTCATGCTTTCATTATGTTGTATTTGAGTTGGAAAAAAATTGTGTTAATCTAGTGCGGGACGAGGGCATATTATAAATTATTTTTTTAACATATATACGAGTATTCATTTGAAGTAGAATAATTTAATTAGATAATTTGGCCCATGCCTGCATGTTTTACGATATGGATGGTACAGGCTACTCATTTTCTAAAGTCAAAACTGTAATAAATAGATGGAGATGGAGATGGAGATGGTGGTCCAATTCCTATTCCTATTTATTCATAAATCTTGATGGAAACTCAGCTGTGTGGAGATGAGTTCATCGAGTTTAAATCGGAGCTTGCCCAATGCTTTCACATTGCAACCACCATCTTTTTGTTGACAGTTTTTCTCTGCCACTTAGCCATGCATTGTGGAATTCAGGACAAAAAGGTTTGCTCACGGTCCTTCACTCTCGGTTTTGGGTGGTCAATAAGGGTTTGTGGGTGGTCGGTTTGGATAATTGTTCGATTTTGGGTTAGAGTTTAATTATTTTAATTTTTATTTTAAATTTTATATGATATCAATTATTAATAAAAAACATTATATCATAATAAAATTTTTGAGATAATATATATTTATTATAGATTTTATAATTTAAACGGTGGAGTGACTAAAACATGATTAATTTAAAATTTTAATGGGAGAATTATTATTATTTTATTTAAATATTTAAAACAGGAACGAGAAGATAGTTGAGTGATGAATAAATGATTTATCTATCTAATTATCTTAAGTTTTTTTTGGTTGTTCTCTCGATCTCTAAACACTTTATCCTAATTAATTTGAATCGATCTATGTCGCATATCTAATTTTACTGGGTGAGTCTCCTATCAAGAATTTTCTACATTCACAACACCTTAAACTTAAAACTTGTTTAAATGATATCAAATTATTTATCGTTTGAACCAATAAATTATGACATTTTAATAACCTAGGAATATTTGTGGTATGGAGATGAGCGAGGTGTCACTTGCAAGATAAGATAACTAACGTTATTAAGTCATTGGAGATTAGAATGGTTGATCACATCTAGAAGTTGACAATTAATCTCAATCTCTCCATGTAAGCTTCTACATTCTTTTTTTTTTTTTTTTTGTATGATCCACTCAATACACAAATTATAAGTCTAAGATTCTAGAAGTGGAAGAGGTGATCACCTTCCTCATTTTATGTTTTCATTTAAAAATGTGTTTTATTTTGTAATTTTTTATGATAATTATTTTCTTGAAACTTGGACTAATCATACCTGGCTAAGTATCTTTCTTACGTAAACTTCTATTGTATTTTTGTATGATCTACACTTTTATAGCAACAATTAATATTTACAAAGAGAGAAAAAGAAACACATGAAAATGGAGATGATGAAATCACTTGGCATTGTTATATGATGGAGCAAGTGTTCCAGAACCATTGGAATTGAAAGAAAATTTTCCCAGAATTCCTTGTTTGTATGGCAAGAAAGTTTTCTTCTTCATATTCTCGGACGCTGCTTTGTTCGTCGTGTAATGTAACTCGTGAGCCGATACTTTTCTCTTGGACGTGTCTTTGGATTTAAAATTAGAGTTCTTGTTATAATTATCTTCAGGTTTTCTGAAAAACGACGAATATTTCGTAAACGGGTCTTTATTATGCCCCTCCGATGCGCTTCTAAACAAGAGCAGATCTTTTAATTTCCATTTTCCTGAAGAACCCTTTGAAGAAGACGGAAGTTTCCAACTCAAAGATGATTGATTACTGCCTGTGATTTCGTTGTTTTGATCTCGCTTCTCTTTTTCTTGTTGTTCTCCCAATGGAGACTCCGAGCCTCTGTAAGGAGAAAGTGATCTCGTTGTTCTTCGACTTGAATTCTTTGATGTCGAATCTTCAACTCTTTCTCTTCCTCTTCCTCTTCCGTTCTCTGTGTTTTCTCCGCTTCTTTCAATGGCAGTTTCAAAAGGTTCTTTTTTCTTTCTCGGTGAAAAAGCTTGGAAGATCTTTTTACCTTGTGGTAATGGCGATTTTGACGACCTCGGGGATGATAAAAATGAGGTTTTTTCATCATTTCCATTGACAACCCGTAACCGCGGTGGATGTTTCAAGGGCTTGATTTTGCCACCGTCGAAGAGTTCTTCAGCTGAAAGCTGGAGAGTTTTCCCCGATGGCTGACGAAAATGAAAAGCAAAACCATCATCTTCGTGATGGATCTTTGTTGTTGGTAATGATTTTGGTGTGCCTGTTCTGTCTTCCCAATCAAAAGGAACCGCCAAAGAAGTGTTTCTCATACAGCTTTCAGTGATTTGAGTATCATCCATCGTCGACAACCCATCAAATTCACAATAAAAGTCGGACAACCGTGAGGGGCTCGTGGGTGCACTAAAGAAACATTCGCCAAATCGTCTAGGCGAAGAAGGAGCGCTGTTGAAATCAAAACTCAGATTCGGAGAAGTCGTTTTCATTACCTCCATGGTTTATTTTCTCTCACAAAATCTCAGCTTTCTTCAGAAATTTCAATTTGTTTATAGACTAGATGTCTGATCTTCGATGTTCTCTGGGTTTTGTGTTTATTTGGCAATTGAACGTGTTCTGTTTATAAGTAGGACTTTAATTTTGTATTATTGCGGTAAGGATGGATGTGTTATGGTGACCCCACCAGTGTTTGAATTTTTTGTTGAAGCAGAAGTAGACATGAACCCACCTGTATTCGTACATTAAATAAATAGCTGATACATCAACTTTTCTTCTTCTCTTATATTACATTAAAGTCATCATTTGTGGCCTAAGATATCTATCTCCCTTAAAATACTTATTTAAAGAACTATACCCGGCTAAATTATTAAAATAACATTCTTTTAATATTTATTTATTAAAATAGTATAAAAAAAATTATTTCTTAAAATAACAATCATTTCTATCGTATAAGATGAAAGTTTGCCTACGTAACAACGACTTTTGAAATGATATTTTTCATAAAAGTATTTTTATTTACTTGACAAATCCAGAATCAATGCTGACATCATGTAATACCCGTTATTTAATCAAAGGCTCTTTCTTGAAAAAGAACCTTTCGAAAAACGTTTCTACGTAGATGTGCTTTTGTTCTATGTGACAGAAATAAATATTATTTTAAAAATTAAAAAAAATAGATTATTTTTGATAATTTAACCATTAAACCCATATATTCTAATTAAAACCAAGGCTTATTATTGAGTAATTGTTTTAATTTAAATCTAAATCTATTTTAATTGATTATATTTATAATTTAATTTATATAGTATAATTATAACTCAAAGAGAGATATAAATTTATAAAAGATTTACATCTATAACTAAAATAATTATATTTGCAATTTATTCAAACTAATTCATAAAACATTCAAATGTATTTTGATAATAACTAAAACAATTCAAATTATTCAATAATTTTTTTGAGCATCTCAAATTTTAATACTTGACTTAGGCAGTTGTTTAGTAATAATGAGAGTTCTAAATTTCTTTGAGCTGTCCAACTTTCAGCACTGGAGATTTTGGTGGTTTCCCTAAATAGATTAAGAATTTGAAGTGACCAAATGAAAATGGGGAAACCAAGCTTGTTGTAATCAATAGAATAGCCTAAGATCTTTGCATGAAAATTCTTGTATTAATAATACGTGTATTAATAATATATTTTTTTGTATGAGTAAACACAAATAAAATTTCATAGTGAACACAATCAATAAAATAAACAATTAACTAAAAAAGTTAGATTTTATGATAAACACTATTAGAAGTGACACGTGCTCACCCTGAATTAAAGGCAGATCTATCAGAGTATAACATTATTAGTCTCCCAACACCATAAGATTTATCATATAAAGTCTCCGATGCACTTCATATTCCCGATTATTATTAAAGCCGAATTTTTCTTTATCCAAATCTATTAATTAATCGATAAATTATTTGATTATACAGAATAAAGATAAAAGAACATAAGAAAGGAGAATTACAATCTATATATTTGATAATATTGTATAGCATTATCGTGATGCAGCTCTTAAGAACTTCCCTTTTGAACAATAAATAAAGTATTTTCGAATCGAGGGAAATTCTAACAACATGAAAATCCGACAGATTTATTATTTCTTTCTCTCTTTTTTTATTTGATTTTTCTTCTCCATTTCTTATGATGTTTCTCTTTATTATAGTGTCGAGAGTGAAGTTTTATCTTAAAAGTTAAAATAGATTCGAAACAATGTAACATAAATAAATATTAAAACGATTTAGATAAAAAACTTTTACTTTTTAAATCAAAACGATCAAAGAACTGATTTGTTGCCGTCCCATACCTATCCCAATTTATAATATTTATGAAAGGAAATTCATTTATTAGAAAAAGTACCACACCAATCACCACGAGACTGTCCTTACGAGGTAAATGCCTGTTAAGATTAAGTGGCCATTTTATAATATTTTAACATTTAGTGGTAGAAAGGGAAATTTACCTAAACTTTAGTGGCCATTGACTTAGTTTATCCTATTTAAAATTCTTAAAACAGATTTTTGTCTCGTATATATTCTTTTTTTCTTTACGCTTTCTACAAATAAAGGTTTACTTTTTCTCTGTTTAAGGGGGTCTTCTAGTGGATGAATTAGGACCCCAAACTTAAATTTTAGAGGCAACCCCAAAATAAAATAAAAAGAGGTGAAAATCGTTCTATTGGATTTGATGAAGTCCCTTTGGGGGGTTATCACAAAAATTCATCAATTTTTCTACGTTTTCTTCATATTTGACTTTGTATTTGCGTACCGTTGAGTAACGCCTCTTTTCTTAGCTTTTTTGTATTCCATGCCTTGTCATTGTTAAAATCATGTATTGAACAAAATTCTTTAATTTTTTCCTTTTTAAGAAATTTTTTGAGGGTTTAGGGTGTGATAGCTTCTTTGGAGCCAGAAAAATAAAGGGTGTCACTGTTTTTCTTTTTTCTTTTTGCAACGTTGAATAGATTATTCAATTTCTATTCACAAAATAGAAAGAAAAAGTGAAAAGGGCGAGAGGGGGAATATATAATTTTATATAGAAGAACTGAAAATTTTCAACTTTTTTGGTTAATTTTGAGATTCTGATCTAGGTCTCTTTTGCAATCTTCTTCCACCGTTTGCTGCAGGCTGTTGATTTGTTTGAGGTAAGTCGTTTTCTCCATTTGTTTTATTCTTTACCTTCTGTTCTTTAAGAGCCTGCAATTCAGTCCCTATCATGAATTTTATTGGCATCTTCAGCGGGGAAAAAACTGTTTTTCTTTTCTCTTTATGTCCACTTGGTTTGGGGAGAAATTTGATGTCTTAAACTAAAGTTTTACCTTAAGCATTCTGGGGTAGAACATTGTCAGGTTGTTGGTTTTGATTGCTAATGTTTTTGGAGGTTTAATTTGCTTGTATTGATGACAAATGAAGCTGAACTGATGTAATCTATTGTTGGCATTGGGGTATGATCGCAGTATGTACGAGACTCTGTTATTAAACAAAAATAGTTTGTTTGCCTAGCTTATGCAGTAATGTTAGTATTCTTCTTGTCTTGGCTGTTTTTAATCTACTTTGATTTACGATCATCTGTCGAGCTTTGTTCATTAATGATTCTTTACTTAAAGCATGAATTGCATAGCTTCCTCTTTCGGGATGTATTTAAATTTACTGCAGTTTGGAAACATATATTTTGCAATATCTGTGTTTATTTGCTTGAATGTATGTTCTATTTGCAGGCAGAAACCTTATTGATTATGAGCGGATAACATCCTGCTTCATGGATTGGATTAAAAAGATTTTTAAGGGCTCTGGCCAAAAGAACTCAGAGGAACATTATTATTATGGAGAATATGTAGAGGATCCTCAATTTAATGCGCCATCTGGAACAGGGGTATTATAACTCTTACCATTTCTATTTCTATATGTTCTTGACTTTTTCAATGATCAACCCCATCCTACTACATGCAATGCTGCTTCTGGTTCATTCATAAAGGTCCTATTTGCATACTGGATTTGACTAGGTTGTGTTGTGACAATCTGAAATTAGATTATGAAGCATTGGTTACATGAAAGGATACTTTCTTGTACAAATATGTATTTGAGTTAGTTTAATCAACTTCTAATGTGTTTTCTATGTTATATCTTGGTTTCAACCTTGATGTATGATGTGTGGCAGGAGCATGATGAAGAGATAGATCAAGCTATTGCCCTATCCCTTCTAGAGGAAAGTCAGAATAGGAGAAACATGATAAGTGAGTAGCATGTATACACCAAAGTTGACATGAATTTTCCTTTTTCCTTCATATTATGATATCAGTGAATTAGTTGCCAATACAATGTTCTTTCTCTTCCCTACTTATGCTTGTAATCTAACATGCAATAATTTGAATTATTAAGTCTCTCAAATTATTGGGCAGATGATGAATCTCAGCTAGAGGAAGATGAGCAACTTGCAAGAGCCTTACAAGAAAGCTTGAGCTTTGAACCTCCTCCCCAATATGAAAATGTAAATTCGTATCAACCTATCCCAGTCCAATTTCCAATGGGATACAGGTATATGAATTTTTCATTAACTACAATAAATGTTTCACCCCAGCTTATTTAATCAGGGTATAACTATGGATTTATTTGAGCTTTTATCCTTTCAAATATATGCTAATAAAATTGGTTTTCCTTGGCATCAATTAGGTTCGAAGATTTGTTGCTATAACTTGGACTCCAGATCTTTTCTTTCTTCAATGAAAAAAATAATCTTTTTGTAGGATCCAGATCTTTTCTTTCTTCAATGAAAAAAATAATCTTTTTGTAGGATTTGTGCTGGCTGCAATAATGAGATCGGTCATGGAAGATTTCTAAATTGCCTCAATGCATTTTGGCATCCACAATGTTTCCGCTGTCATGCTTGCAACCTTCCAATTTCTGATTATGAGGTAGAAAGTTACATTTTTAGTGGACCTTTTGGTAACTACCATTAATGTTAATGTCTTTGGTTCTTTTTTTTTTATAGGAGGTGGAGGCCTCGTTAAAAAACCCCTTCTTGATTAAAGGAACACCGATCGGTTTTCCTTAATCAGTGGAAGGAGGAAAAGAGTGCCTCAAATCTTATTAATAACTGAAAGATTACATAATGTTTAAAACAGACGATCCCCTTACAAAAACAACCCGCAACACACGTAGACACACATTTGACATAAAGGAGAAACATCAAAACCCAACAAGCAAAAGAAAACTACCCAATACCAGCCTTAGCTAATGCATCTGCTTCAATATTAGCAGTTCTATCTACCCATTTAATAGCACCCTGCAAAACCTTTATCATATCAGCAGCTTCTTTGACTAAATCCCGAAAACCTGCAGGACAATTCTCTAAGTTCTTAATCCAATCCACAGCAGATTTGCTGTCAGATTCAACAAAAGAACCAAAGACAATGTCTTTGGTTCTTTCATTGGATGTTTCATTGATGAATCAGCTAATTTAGATCTCCACCTTTTTCTGCAGTTCTCTAGGTCCGGGAATTATCGTTTTCATAAATCTTGCTACAAGGAGCGTTACCATCCGAAATGTGATGTTTGCAGCCACTTTGTAAGCTTTTTTGGCTTATATTCTACTTATTTTAAATTTGTTTCACTTGTAAGTCACACTATGCATAAACGATAAAGGCGGTCTTAGCATGATTTATGCATGTCACTTAAGTTATATATTACAAATGTTAAATGTAGCGACAAACTTGTAGTAATACCAAATTATGGTGTGCTTTTCATGTTTTCCATATGTTTTTACCTAATAACAAAATTCTTAGTGCTAAAAAAACCTAAACCTGAAGGTCATACGAGTACGTACGAAAACCATGCAATAGAGTCTTACGGATATATGGTGACATGAGGAGTAGTTCATATTTTATGTAACCGGAGCCGGATGCAATTCTGAGTTTAAACAATGGAAAATAATACAAGCTGGAATTTCAAAAGGAACTTTGATATATAGGAAGCCCCTATATTCATATCACATACAAGTCTTCATTGTATATATTCTGTAACTAATTATGAAACAGAAGAACTTAAATTTACCGCACGTCTCTTATTATTGGTTGGTGTTGTCTTTCGGCATATATACTTTTGACAGATTCCAACAAACCCCGCTGGTCTTATTGAATATAGGGCGCATCCTTTTTGGATCCAGAAGTACTGCCCCTCTCACGAACTCGATAGCACTCCACGATGCTGCAGCTGTGAGCGAATGGAGGTGAGTATGATGACAAGCTCTTATTTAAATTACCAGAGTAAAATCTTGACAACTATTTGTGAAGATGGTGAGACAAAAGCTGAAAGCATGACATGTTTGAGTCATCATATTTAGCCACGAGACACGGGATATGTTGCCCTTGATGATGGACGGAAGCTTTGCCTGGAGTGTCTGGATTCTGCAGTTATGGATACCAAGGAATGTGAACCCCTTTATCTTGATATACAGGAGTTTTACGAAGGGTTAAATATGAAAGTCAAGCCGCAAGTTCCATTACTCCTTGTTGAAAGGCAGGCTTTAAATGAAGCCAGAGAAGGAGAAAAGAACGTAAGTTATGATTTTAAGTCAGAATGTAAGGCTTTAAATCAGAATGCTCTGGGCATGCATCTGCTTATAGAGTGTTTAATTTAAACACCATGGATTCAATCTTGTCTTACTGCTTAATGGAAACACTTGCAAGTTATGTTACTCGGAGTCGGATTCAAGTATGAGTGTCAGATATAGATATGTATCAAGCACGGGTTTGTTATTCTCATGTAATTTAAGAAGAAAAGAGTAAGAGCAATGTAGCTGGTGAGAGGAAGTGTCATCTCTTCTTTGTATGTGTAATGATTGCATTCTAAAATTTGTGTTCGGCAGGGCCATTATCATATGCCAGAGACAAGAGGACTCTGCCTTTCTGAGGAACAAACTGTCAGCACTGTAAGAATTTTTGAAATTCTATTTTCCCTTTGTGTTTGATGTAGCTTAGAAAATTTCCATTGGTAGTTTTTGTATTGCTCAAAGATTTATACCATCTTCAACCTGAAATCATCAGATTCTAAGGCGACCAAGTTTTGGTATCGGAAATCGAGCCATGGATATGATAACAGAGCCCTACAAATTGACACGTAGATGTGAAGTGACTGCAATTCTCATTTTATATGGCCTGCCAAGGTTTTGTATTGTTTTCCGTAGTTGCTTCCACCAGGCAATTTCATGTTTTTTTTCTTCTTTTTTATCCCATTAATTTGCAAATGATGAATGGGAAAGCAGGAAAAATGTCGATATAAGATTAATGACAACTGAAAGTTGATTCTATTGGTATCATGATGCCTGTAGTTTAAAAAGTAATGAAGTGAATTGAAAAAGAGTGAACTCAACAGGAACTGCTTGAAAGAATTGGAGTCTTGATATCCTCTTCTAGAAACCTCTCTGCCCCTTTCTCGAGTCATACATGTTTGTCGCAGATGATGCGAACTTCGATATTACTCTTAATGCTTCAAGTAGAGTTGTCGACTTGTCGTAGTTGATAAAAAAATCGAAAATTTTGTTTATGTAGGCTACTGACTGGATCAATCTTAGCACACGAGATGATGCATGCATGGATGCGACTTCAAGGTGTTTTCCATTTCCATCTTAATATGTACGAAAAAAAGGTGTTCCAGTTTTGAATCTAGAAACATTGATTGATAAATTTTGGTACTTGTTTGCCAGGTTTCCAAACTCTCAGTCAGGACGTTGAGGAAGGAATTTGTCAGGTATTAGCACACATGTGGTTAGTTACTCAGCTTGATTCTTCTTCTCCTCCGAGCAGCGCTGTTGCATCAACATCATCCTCGGGATCTAGTGGATTAAGAAAGGCGAAAAGACCTGAATTCGAAAGGAAGCTCGGGGAATTCTTCAAGCACCAAATCGAGTCAGACACATCGCCCGTATATGGAGATGGTTTTAGAGCAGGGCATTCGGCAGTTTACAAATTTGGGCTTAGAAGAACCCTTGAACATATTCGGATGACAGGAAGATTTCCTTACTGAGAATCCCCCTAACCCCTGATTCTTAAAAATGGTTTTCCCTGTTCTTTTTAAAGAGATGAAAACCACGGCCATTTCATATTAATTCAAATTTGATTGTTTTCTTTATGCATGAAAAGAGAATATTATATAATATAATCTCCAACGAACAACTTAAATGGCCACATGGCTGCTCTTCCTCCAGCTCCGCCACTGCACCATATGATCTTCGGCCTTTAAACCTATAAAGCCTCGCCATTTCTTGAAGATTCCGTCATTTTCTCAGAAAGAAGCAGAATTTCCGCATTCAATAATCCAATCCAAATGAATCTTCCAATCACGAGGGTAACGGGTTTGAATGGTTTGAATGAATAAGATTGTGTGTGTTTGTTTATTTATTTTTAAAGATATTTATATTCTATTCGTGTTTGTTTAAATTTTTACTATTATATTTATTTGTTTATTTTTTAAGGTGTTTGTATTCGGTTCTTTTAAATTTTGTGAACATATTAATTTATATGATTTGAATACCATAAGCATTAGGCAATCAACACTTTTTTTTTTATCTTTTTATTTGCAAGTGAAAATGGTGAAATTATGTCACTAATCCTTAAGTTCCTTAAGCTTTATAGTTTAAACTTCAAAATTCACTCTATTAAACATTTAATCTCTATTTTAATCAATATTTAAAATGTAAAAAAAATCGGATAAACGAGCTTAGAAATGAGTTCAAAAATAAATTCTCAAACGAATTTGTTTATAAACATAAATGAACTGAACATACTTCTTTGTATTCATTCATTTCTTTTAAAATGAATACAAATTTTTTATATTTATTTAATTAATTTAATAAATAAACATAAAAAAATATTATATAATCGATTCATAAATACTTTTAAAATTCATATTCATCAAAGGTTACGTTGATTTACATCCTCCAATAGGTCATAAGATAACCACAAAGCGTCCAAAGGGCACGGTCTTTTAGCATCAAGCCTCGCCCATGGCTTCCCTTTTCCACTCCAATGTAAAAGACTGACCGGACCAGGATGCAAATCCCGGCACAGACCTTTAATATTGTCACCTCCTAGCCCGTGTTGATTCCACCTCCGATCCGCTGGAGCTATATTTCCGGCGAAAACCAATAAAAACGGAGGCAATGAACCCAGCTCGTAAATCCTCACTCTTTTCTGAAGCTCCATCCATTCCTCTATCTTTCTCGTGTAATCCCCTTCTCTCCATCGGTCAAGGTCGATCACCATTACCCCTGTGTTGAAATAACAAGCTTTACGGTTCGAAAAAGTCAAGGATAACCAAGGGTTCGACCAAAACGTCGGAGTGAAGTATGAGATGAAGTTGGCCTTGCAATATTCAGGTGCCGCCAGGACTGAGTTTTCCCCGAGTTGAGTTGCAGCGAGTAGAGCTATATCGTCGACGAGAACCAGGTCCGAGTCGAGGTACAAAACACGGCGGACGCATAAAGGAAGGAGATCGGCTAAGTAGCTTCGAGCGTAGTTCAAAGGACAATCCAAAGCAGAACGGATTGATGTTGAAATGAGACGGGAAACGGTAGAGTCATCGAAAGGGTAGAGTCTGAACTTGAGGTAAGGGAAGGAGGAAGATATGGTGGAGCGTAAGAGTGATGCGTTTCCGGTGTCGGAGACAACGAAATGGAAGGCGATGTTTTGGGGACAAGAGGAGTGTTGAAGCATTGAAAAGATAGCAGCCATGGATCCCCTGATGTAGGGTTTGTCGAGGGTCATTGCCACGTGAACTGCTTGGTCCGAACATAAAATCGAGGCTTCGCCATTTGATTCGCCGTCATGATCAGTGGTTATTATTACAGGGCAATCCGGAGAGTTGTGGAACTCGGAGGCTTCTTTGAATTGTTGAGTTATTATTGGTGTAGCGGCGGCGGTGGCATTGGCCGCAAAGGAGAAGATGGTGAAAGTTAAGAGATGGAGAAAATGAAAAACCAGTGATTGGGACATTGTTAGGTGCTAGCATGTTGGGTTTTAGATTAATGCAACGCAATGATAAAATAACATATATAACAAAGTCAAAACACGAATTTCGAATTTTTAGTATTTAATATTTTATTTTATTATTATTAAATAAAAAGAAAATATAAAAACTGACAAAAAAATTATCCATCATTTCCCTTCAAATTATTTAAGTGCATAAATTAGTTACTAAAGAGTAAAATATAATTATACAAAAAGGTTAAAAACTTTAATCAAATAATTCAATAAAGTTTATAGATACAGATAAATTTTATTATCTTCGTTAAAAATAAACATCTATAGACACAAAATTTTATATTAAACTGACAATCTTCTAAAATTTGTAAGGAATAAAGTTAGATTATCAATAAAAAATATAAAGACAACAACTAATATATATTTTAATTTGAAATTTTTTAAGGGGGAACGACTGCCCCCACCCACTCTCCCTCGATTTATCCCTACTTGCAACAATAACATAAAATATATATAATAATGATGACACGTTGACAAATTAACTTTATCACAACGTAATATTAACTTATATTTGGTGATTGCGAGACTTTATCAATAGAAAAAAAACCAACCCGATGATTTAAAACTGTGATAAATTAGTAAGATAACCAAATAAACATCAACCGAAGAATAAATAATTGTCAAATTCAATCATGAAAAATAATAATAAAAGATAATAAAATCCAATCTTTTGTTTAAAAAATGAGAAAGACTTATTAGAACAAAAGGCCTAAGATTTAAATATACAAAAAAGATTATATAGTAGGAAAATATAAAATAAAAAGATGAATGAGGAAATAATAAAGATTATAATAAAATATGAGTGCAACCATGTGACGACTCTCTTAAATATGAATGTGTTAAGTAATAAAAAAATGGTTCCATATTTTTATGAGTGATATTTTTTCATGATTTAGTATATGAATTACCAATGAAATAATTTTTATTTATTTTTATATTATTTGAGTTTTTATTTATCTTTCTAACATCAAATTATTTTTTTTTTAATTTTCTTCGTATATAATAAATTATTTTAAAACACAAACTTACATAATAATTATTTTTTCATAATAATAAGAATGTGCCAAACATTTATAGATAAATGTATACTTTTGAATGAGTGTAGATACTCTACACTCAATTTTGGGGTAAATTTATGAGTACCAAAAGAGAAAATTACTTAAAACAACAATGCTAAGATTACACGATTTAAACCCAGTGATTCATACCAGATGAGGGATGGGGGGTGTAGGCCATAGCTTATCCATTTGAGCATGCAACTAGGTAGGCAAATAAAAGTGCTCTCAGAGAATAACAGCTAGTCCGTGACCTATAGGTTTAAAGAAAGTGATGGTCACTTATGACTATAAAGACCTACCCTATAGACAGCTCGTAAAGCACAACAATTGCTGACCATTTTCGTGCCATGCGGGCCTCAACAACTCAGAATTTTGCATGATGAATGATAAGCTTAAATGCCTAAGCACATTTTGTCATAAAACTATGAAATGAATAAGAAACATCACCTCGAGCAGTATTTAACGAATTGACCATGCAGATGCCTAGAGTTAAATCAAATAACACAAGGAAAAGATAGTTACCTAGCACGATGCCTAAGGTGGTGTTTATTTTTATTGTGCAACCTCTTCAATTTCTTATGTTTGTCTAACGTAGGCTTCGCAGATTGTTTATTTTTTAGAAGACAGAAGCTCTTCAAACGTCTGCTCGAACTCTTCTTGGTGCATACATGATTTTATGTCTTCAAAGATATGCGGGAAAATTAAAATCATTTAAATATATTTTAAAATTTATTTTAAAATATAAAAAAATTTATTTTAAAATATGAATTGATTTATTTTAAAATATGAATTGATTTATTTTAAAATACTGATTAATTTATTTTAAAATATGAAAAAATTTATTTTAAAATATGAATTGATTTATTTTAAAATATGGAAAATTTTATTTTAAAATATGAATTGATTTATTTTAAAATATGGAAAAATTTATTTTAAAATATGGATTGATTTATTTTAAAATATGGATTAATTTATTTTAAAATATAGATTGATTTATTTTAAAATATGAATTTATTTATTTTAAAATATGAATTTATTTATTTTAAAATATGGAAAAAATTATTTTAAAATATGGATTGATTTATTTTAAAATATGGAAAAAGTTATTTTAAAATATGGATTGATTTATTTTAAAATATGAATTGATTTATTTTAGTATTGCAAAACTCTATTAAGTTTAAAAAATCAGTTTATTTTATATTTCAGTTTATTTTAGCATGCTGCAGACGTTAAAAAACAAATAATCTTCTTCTTGCAGACTGCAGACTTTTGGTCCACTTCTTCTGCTACAGATATCTGCAGATTAGTCCGCAGACTGCAAACCTTTTACCTCTTCAAAAACAAACACCACTTAATTTTTCAAATCTGCAGGTTCACCAGACCTTAGCAATCCACGTGCTTAGGCTTAAATCCAACGACCTAAAAGAGCCACAACAATCAACAAAAAAAAAATCTAGAAACTGGTGGATCAGATAACAATAGGAGGCTGATCCAATGAGGCCATTTTAGGACCAGGTAGCAATAATTCGAACCTGCAAGTATAATGGATAAAAATAACACTTGCAATATTAGAGTTACTGTCTTCTGAGGAAATCCACAAACCATGCCTTGGTTCTTTGAAACAAGTTAAAAGGACTAAACAAATGCTGGACTCCACCATCATTTAGATCCTTTTCAAGTACCAACAAAACCAACTTATGCTATAGCGTGCATGTGGGTGCACAGGACAGGAGAAGATGCACAGAAAGATTGTGATTACCTTTTCGAAATGGTAGGGTTCTATGTTCTAACCAGCGAACCACTGACGACACGAAACGTCATTACACCATCATCAATTGCACTATAACTACTGATATACATATCCGTGTTTTACAAAGTAACCATGGATCAAGGAGGCAAGAAAGAGCAAGTAAGCTAATATGCATTGTCAGCACAATGAACAGCCTGGTTTCCATATTCACTGTCAAAATGCACATCGTGTTTAAAACAGAAGATAACATCAATACTCTATCCTAGTAATTCATTTTCAAAAGTAACCTCCCTTCGCGAATTTAATAATTCCATAAACAAATAATAAGCTGGAATCAACAATGATAATCCACAAATCTGATTAACCAGACAAAACAAGGCAATCAAGCTGTATTTCTCTCTCTAGTTGAAATTCATAGTCCATGGTTCCATGCAAAATTAGCACTAGAATCACAACCTGGGTTTGCAAATTCAAGCTGTGTCATGAGATATAATATAATCATCTAGGAGTGAACATTCGATTGAGTCGAATAAAAAATTTCTAATTATTCGAATTGACGAGTCCTATTTTAGACTTGAAATTTTTTCAAATCGAATCAAAATTTTTAGTTTCTATTTAAATTTAATTATATATATTTATGAGATTATAATATTATTTGATTTCAATTTAAATGATTTTCTTATAACCATATACAATACATATATATTTCTTTATATTTTTTTTATATAAGATATACATATATCATTCAGAGTCTAGAGACTTGACTCTAACTTGAAAATTTATCTACTAATTACTAAAAATTTTGAATTATTTGAATTGTATTTTATAACACAATTTGAACTTGAAATTTTTTCGAGTCGAGATTATAAAGTCGAGTTTATGAAATTACAACTCAAAGGCAATTCGAGTTGAGTTTTGCTCACCCCTATAATCAGCTATGCAAGCAGAAAGAATTGCTCCGTCAATCAGACCCAAAAAGGGAACCATTTCATTATCACTGCACAAATAAATCCTTTGTTCATAAAGTCTCAAATGAGGGGAAAGAACAGTGGAAACCAAACTTAGAGGATGAGAAGATGAGCGAAAAGACTATGCAAATGCTTATATCAAAGCTCTAACCGCAGAGAGAAACAACTCCACCTACGCTACCAATATTTAACCTTACGCCTAGTCCAGCTCAGCTATCCCCTCTTATACAAAGGAAATAACTAGTGGCCATGAAACATAGAAGACCAAGACAATCTATTTAATTGCAAGTTCCAACTTATGAATAGCTAGGCACCTAAAATACTACCGCATTTCATGTTTACCCAACACTTGAAAATATTATGACTAGAAATAAGCTGAAAATACATGACCATGAGAAAATTATAAGAACATACATGACCTTGCTCTCGCAACTAGAAAAGGCATCAATACTAAACAAACCGACAACATTCCACATATTAATGGCAACCATCAAATGAACAAAAACTGAATACTAGAAGTACTATACAATAAATTCCTCAATCACCAAGCGGAAAACAAAAATGAAAATACATTTATTAGATTTACACAAGATATTGGACTGACAATTCTAAAATAAGTTAGCAGTTCATGCTTTGATAGCAGATTTAATCTATTGATAAATCATTGCAAAGATAACACAAATTATGATAAACAGAAACAGCATCTTCAGATATTGATCCTGCTGCCCTTGTGCAGTACGATGATGATGGTGGTGGTGGTGGTGGTGGTGATATCCATGAGCATGGCCACCATGATATGAATGTTGAAACCCATATGGAAACCCAGCAGCCGGACCAAACATGGCCGCATCAGGAAATCCATGGACCTGAAGGTTAAACAGTGATGGGAGAAGACCACCAAAAGCAGCAGATAGTGTGAAATTCCCAAACCTAGCCATCGGTGCAAAGCCTCCAAAACCTCCCATGAACCCAAACCCATTTTGGGGAAACTGATTTGGATCTGGTGGAGGAGCTGTTTCAGGTCTCTGTCCAGCTGGACGATTCGGAATATTAACACCTGGGATAGATTTCGACCTAGGATCAGTAGATGACTTTCCCCTTCCATACAAAGGGACCAATTTTTCTTCCTCGACAAGGGCCTTGCAAACAGGGCATTCTTGAGAACGGGAATGAATATGAAGCCATTTGTAAAGACAAGGCCAGCAGAAGAGATGACCACATAAAGTGACAATGGGGTCTTGCGATAAGTCAAAGCATATATTGCACTCAAAATTACCAGCATCACCATTGCCATTGTTGCTAGAGCAAGATGGATTCTGGGGCGAATGGCGCGCAGATTCCCCAAATCCACTTGCCATTTCTCAGACTTCCTACACTCAGATTCCTATAAAAATCAAATTCAAACCCGATCAAACATCAAACGTACAATTAACTAGTATCATCAATTTCACCAGAAAATGCAAGAATACAGAAATGATTGAATTTTCCGAAAAATTGAAGGATGACATACCAAAATCAATGCCTTTAAATATTCATATTATTGTTGGGTAATTAAATAATCTCAAACTAAAAAAATACCACAGATCTCTAATGAAAATCAGCATGACTAATTAATAAACACGCACACAATTCATAACGATTAATCAAAGAGGAAAACCGGGATTCAACGGTAATAGAAAACGAAGAAAACAAATCTAGCATTTAAAAACTAAAAAGAGAGAGAGCGATAAATGAAATTACCGACGTTCGAATAGATAGAGGAGATCAAAGGACAGATCGATTAGGCAATCGAGCTATCCAAAGGAGTCAAAATAAATACAAAAATATGAAGATCGCAGAAAAAAACTCCTCGGAGACTCTTCGTATCTATTTGTTGACGCGTTTATAGCGGAGAGATTACTCTAATTCATCTTTTCTATGTTTTAATGCTTAATATTAACGTTTGGGTTATAAAACCTCCACGTGGCCACAATATGTTTGTTAATTTCTCTTGACTCGTAGTTGACCCGTGTGGTTTCGATCGGCAGTTAACGGCGTTAGGATGTGAATGCTAAACTTTGTAGCATTGACAATATCTTTTTAGGGTAAACTATATTAGTAGTTACTTGAACTTTTAAAGTGATTTTATTTTAGTCATAAACTTTTAAAATATGCATTACTGTCATTAAATTTTTAATTCGTTTTTAATTATAATTAGTCATTAGCAGCCACTAAGAAATGTTGATTTATACTATTTTGCATCTGGTATGATTTACTTGTATTATGCTTTTCATATAAGAATTGGGCAGTATTATGTATCTCTAATATGATTTATGCTATTGTGTATATGCGCTCTTACCTGTGTTGTATACGTTTATGATACCATTTGTATTTTAACTCTCTCTTATATAAGTTAATTCTTTAAAGATATGAATAATATGATGACATTATAAAGTACAATGTTCAAAATATAATCAGTGTATTTAAATATTCACAAAATATTAAGGGAGAATTCAGTTTGCGAAAAAAATCATTATCGTACGATATAATCTTTTCCAGAATCACATACCAAATATTTGGTTTAAGAGCAAGATCAACCTGTTGCATGCTAAAATGACCACGATTTCGTAAAAGTTACTTTTTATTGGCCGATTATTACATCTTACTAACTTTCAGGCATCGGTGGTGGCTTTTCACGACCATCTTCCTGTCATTTTTTTCTTTTCCAATTAATTACTATCTAATTTTACTAATTATCAATTATATTTTAACACGTTTATAATAATGTTTTCTCTTGGTTATTTCTTTAGTAAAGGGTACCATAGCTATCAATATTTTTGGACTTTCTGTACATGTTTTTTTTATTGGTTTTCTTCTAGGTTTGTGATTCTACATGATTTCTTAGTTGGTTGCTTTTTCGATGTTTGGTTTCTTCATTCGTTTACTTTTGACGTTCATTTGGTGATCGGATTTCTTGTCTGATGAGATTGCAATTAAGGTGAGATCGGTTTTTCATTCGTTCGCTTTTGATATTCTTCAGGTTCTCTTCTATATTTAATGTTCGAGGACGTTAGAGAGATATATTTTTGTACGTCGTTACCTCAATTATTCACACTTTTATTTATCAAGCTATAACTAGCTGATCGTTGTTATATTTTTCTTATTATAATCATGATTGTATTTATTTAATATATATTTGATAAGACGTTATTGACGATACTTTTGACAAATAAATATATCATAGTCCTATTTAAAAATAATAATAAATAATTTCAGAAGAAATATAAATTTAAATTAAATATTAAATTCATTAATAAAATTCACTCTCTCTTTTTCTTAGATTATGTCCCGAGCCATCACAAAAGTTTCATCGATGTTAATTTGTACAACTCCTTTGTAACATTATATATTAAAAAATTATTCAATCAAAATTAGACACATACAGTAAAAGAAAAAGTTAACACTGTCTCACTCACTCATTCTCAAAAATTATAATGACTAAATTAACCCCCTTTTTCTAATATATTCAAAATCACTTAAACCAAAATATTTTTATATTATAATAAAAATTTTAGTATTATTTAATATACAAAACTTAAAATATCTTTTTATAATAGTGGAATTAAAATAACTTTTATATAGTATAGAATTCACATTTAAATAATCAATAATTTAGAAAATTCCATTTTTCGAGCATTTGATTTTCCCAGTAATATAAACCAAGGCCTTCAGGAGGACGTGGCGGGCGAAGATCAGAGATTTACAGAAGATTCCATGGCGGTTTTCGCTGATCTAACGAAACCTTTCGTTTTCGATCCTAAACTTTCATTTCCTCCGACATACATTTACGATCAAGTCCAAATTCACTATCCAATCCACTAATTTATCTCTGAATATAGCAATCAAAATATCTTATATAACTAATAATAATATTTACGAAATCACTAGCTTTGTAGAATCAACATGGGATCCGAACTCAATGGCATTACTTCAAAAACGGCCAAGACCGGAGAATCCGACCCAAACGACGACGATGCCTCTGCCAAAGACGGCCTCCCCCTCCTTGAATCCGCCGCCGAAGGTATCCAGGAGCACGAGAAGAAATTCGCTGCCTTCGTGCGCAATGACGTGTACGGTTCAATGGGATGTGGAAAGCTGCCATTGAAAGAGAAACTCCTGCTGGGCATCGCCCTCGTCACGCTTCTCCCTATACGTCTCGTTTTGGTAATGACTATTTTGGTTGTGTATTACTTGATTTGTAGAATTTTTACGCTATTCTCGACCCCGAATCTGGAGGATGAGCAGGAAGATTTTGCACACTTGGGTGGGTGTAGGCGAGCCGTGATTGTCCAGTCGGGTCGGTTTCTTTCTAGGTTGCTGCTTTTTACGGTAGGATTTTATTGGATTAATGAAACTCATAAGGATTCAGCAAATACCCAAGAGAGTTCAAAAACCGAGGTAGAACTTTACTTATTCAGCATTTTTAGTATTCTAATTTGGCATCTTTTAAGATAATTATATGCATTTAGTTATGCTAACTGACAGACTTTAGTTAAACACAAGAAGTAATTGCTTGATCAACATTTTCCTGAATTTTCTATTTCTGTGTATGATTTTTGTACAGAGTACTAAACAATCAGAACAGCAAGAAAGGCCTGGGGCAGTCGTATCTAATCACTTATCCTATTTAGATATCTTCTATCACATGTCCTCTTCCTTTCCAAGTTTTGTTGCCAAGGTCTGTTAACTTTAGCCACTCTTCTCATTTTAATAGTTGATTACGGTATAAAATGTAAGCTTTTGATGTTTTAACTGACATATCTCTTGTTTGGTTTTTTCCTTTGAAATGCTTGGATTTTATTGCTGAAGAGATCAGTGAGTAAACTTCCCTTAATTGGTCTTATCGGGTGAGAGTTAATTTTATCCTCGTAAATTTCTCCCGTGGTTTGGTGCAAAATCTAGTTTGGTTGCCATAATTGATTTTTTTGCCTTTTAAAACTTGATATAGTTATGGGACTTATGTCAATAGTTTTCTTTTATGTCAGTCATTCTCCTAATCTACAAGCTTCACATCTTATGTTGTAAAAATGTCTAGCAAGGGAACCATTTACATTAGAATAAGAATCTTCAGTTTTGGAAAGGGTAATGTGTGCATCAATTAGTTCTTCGTAGTTATATTTTTCTTTTGTTTTGTATGTTTCCTACCAGTTCTATATTTTCTGTGTAGTAGAAATAAATTGGTTTTGAACTGGCGTGATGAATGATATTTGGCTTGTTTCTTACAGCAAATGTCTTGGTTGTGTCTATGTTCAGCGAGAGTCAAAATCATCAGACTTTAAAGGTGTTGCAGGTAAAAAACTGACAACCCCAAACTTGTTTTTCATCACTTTAATTAATCAAAAGTACAATGCAGCCTAACTGGTCTCTCTTTCAGGCATTGTGACCGACAGAATTCGTAATGCACATCAAAATGAATTGGCTCCAATGATGATGCTTTTTCCAGGTTAATCGTCTTATTTATTCACTATGCATTTATCACATAGTTTAATTTATGGTGCATGCTCTACTGTATGAGTGTATATTTATGTCTATAGATGATGTTTCCTAGCATCCAAAGCATTTATATTTCCTATGCCTATCTGTAACTAGTAAAATTTGATTTATTTTCATCTCGAAAACAGAAGGAACCACAAGTAATGGGGATTTCCTCCTCCCATTCAAGACTGGTGCCTTTTTAGCCGGAGCACCTGTTGTGCCTGTTATATTAAGGTACTCATACCAAAGATTTAGTCCAGCCTGGGATTCAATATCTGGGGTGAGTATCTATTAAGCAAAATCAAAACGGCTTAGTGATTTCTGGTGATAGATTGTAATTTTTCCCTTAATTGAGTAGCTGTTTAATACCTATAACTGATCACTGGATATAAAAAGTAGTACATAATAGAAATTTTGGTTTGTGTTTGTTAGTTTTTCGGTGGTGCCTCATTATTAGGTGGTCTTAATACAGATCATTTGTGCACTATAGTTACACCGATGCTGATTTTTGATCGTTACACTAATATTCTGATGATGTTTTGTTGTTTGCATAGTGCATTTGTATAAAATCTGTTAGAACTACTGTAACAAATGCTTGTTCCTGTAACATTTTTCCAGGTTTTGTGGAAGAAGTTTAAGAAGAAACTACTAAATGCGTAGACAATAATGCACTTATTATATAACCTTTAATGGAGAAAATTGGAAACAAAATGTTAATAAAGCGGATGATTATTTGGAAAACATATGATTATATTTCCCCCCAAGGAAGACATTGAATTTAAAATAATTTGATGATAAATATATTTGTTTTATGACCTTTATTCCTCCAGCTGATGTTAATGCTGGTAAGCTGGTCTATATCATCTTTTGTAGGTGCGTCATGTGGTTTTTCTTCTATGTCAATTTGTAAATCACTTGGAGGTAATATGGTTACCTGTTTACTGCCCGTCGCAGCAAGAGAAGGATAATCCAAAACTATATGCTAATAATGTCCGAAAATTGATGGCCTCTGAGGTATCAAATACGACACTATTACTTCAACTGTCTTTTATGTTGCTTTGATGTTAACATTAGCATTGTTTTTGTTGCCTGCAGGGTGGTTTGATACTTTCGGATATCGGTTTGGCTGAGAAGCGAATATACCTTGCTGCTCTCAATGGTAATAATAGACTGCCTAGTGTTTTGCATCCGAAAAACGATTGATAAATTCATCAACCTTGCTTCCACATGCTATCTATTCTCAGTTAAGTTCCTTAATTTGCACTGACAACGTCATTGCAATTATGTGAATTTTATTTATGAAAAGTGTGGCCAGGATCATACGCTATAAGCCACCATTCCTAGTGCCTTTTTTCTTTTTGGTTATAAAGCCTATGTATCTTGGGCTCTTATTTTCTTTTAAATATTTTGTTGGATATTTGTGTTGGAATATACTTGAACGTGGGAATAAAATATATTTTCCAAAATATAAGAAAAATAAGAAAATGGTATGGAATATATATTTATATCCGAGTCCGAATAACATAATATAAGTACACATTAACAATAAGTTTACTGTAAATCTGAAATGTCTTTTTCTGTTCCTGCAGGTTTATTTGGTCAATGCTAAATATGGATTCTCCGTCTGTATAGTCATTGGTTAACTTATCCTTCATTGGAATGTTTTTAATATTGATCTTTCTGTAATACCCCAAAATTTTAGATAATGACCAAAATGAAAATTTTGAAAGTTTGATGGTCAAAGTAGTAAATTGGGAAAAGTTGAGGAAATTAAGTGATAAATTTCCTAAAAAGAATTTTATTTCATAAATAGATGGTTTACTCTTGAGTGTGGAGTTTTATAGAAATCATATTTTTTGATTTGGAATTTTAGTAAAGAAAAACTAGAAAGGGTTAAAGCCGGTAAGGAAATCAGTATTTCAGATCGAATTGGAATTTTACAAAAATTTGAAGGATATTATAAAATGGCTGAAAATATTATTTTAATATTTTATATCAGAGAAATTTGGTTTCGAAGTGAGCAATTTTTCAAATTTAACCGAAACAGTGAAATTTAGTGATTAAAACGCAAATTTTAAAAATTCAAGGAGAATTTCGGAATTAAAAGTTAAAATAATTCAGCTTTGACTTTGAAATATGATAAGGATGAGTTGTCATGGTTTTATGGTAATTAAGAATATTCATTAAGGGTGATTTGGTCTTATTCCAATTAAATGAATAATATATTCATTTAAGTGAAATATAAGTTAAATTAAGATGAAATGTTCTCCACATTTCAACAAAATTTACTCATCTTCTTCTCCAGAACCAGATGTGAGCTTCTTCAAAGGTAAGAGCAAGCTTTAATTTCATTTTCAATCAATTTCTTTAGGATTGTGAGTATGTTGAAAATAGAAAATTGTTATATAGGAAAAACGCTATTATTTAATCTTGTTGGTTGTTCAAGTTCATCTTGAGTTGATGAAAGGGGTTCTTGTGTTTTATGGGTTTTGAAGAGTTAAGTGATTTTAAAGAATTGATTGTAAGAATTGATGCAGAACCTAAGAATGAAGTTAAAGAAAACAGTTTGGATTTTGAATCTGGCAGTAGGTTCGAAAAATCACTAGAAATTATATAAAAATAATTTGGAGATTATTTTTATATATTATGTTCATATATCGATATAGTTTTGTTTAAAACAAACGGGGATCAATTTCAAGTTGTATACAAAAAGATATGAATTTTTAACCAAGGAAAGGTCAGAAAAATCGGACATCAATTTCTGCAAAACAGATTTTGTTGGTCAACTTTTAAAATTCACCATAAATTGTACAGAATGAATTAGAAGGAGTTATTTTATATGGATAGATTCGTATTCGAGTATAGTTTTCAATAGAAGAAATGGAATTGAATTCCAGTGTGTATATCAATACAGAGTATTGATTATTTAAAGGTAGTGTGAATTGTCTGAATATGGAAAATTGATGGATTGTTGTGTAAGTGTTGTATAATTGATATACTATAAAGAAAATGTTGTTTTAGAATTAAAATGAGAGTTAGATGTGATATATGATTGATTTGGAAGTTTAAAAAGATTTGTGGTTTAAGTACAACACTTGTATAGTTGGGGGTACTTAAAGATAATTAGGCTTTTGTGAAAGCATTTGAATGGAAATAATTTCAATGATGGAATTATTGGTATTAAGAATTTAAGTGGTAAAATGGTGAATGACCATTTTGAGTAAATTAGAAAAGTTATTTCCAATACTAAAAAGAATTATTAAGTGTTAAAGTATTTGGTGGTGAATATTTTGAAGTATGATTATGGAATTTATTTTGGAAATATATTTATGTTAATACAATACTAACATATATATAGGTATGAATCTATATTTTGTACATACCATGATTTACTTGGTGTTCAAAGTGATTTGAGTATAGAAGGAAAGATTTATTGTGGACAATAGTGAGGCACAAATATTTGGAAAATTATAAAGTGTCAAGATGAGTGCAATACATGCATGAAATTATACATGGATGTTTTATACATTATCAGGAAGACTTGTGATAAGTCGATCTTGTTTATATCAACATGATTTTATATCATCTTTTATAAATTGACATTGATATGTCAGAGTATGAAATTAAAATGCATTGATCACTGATTTTTGCATATGGTTTTTACCATGAATGTTATTTCGGGTATGAACTGCCCCATTGTTAAATATTGATAATATATACTTTGCCATGGATGGATCAAATAAAATAGACTGTATGCCCAAGTTAGTTATTGAGGGACAGGGTATAGTTGGCATGCCATAGAGTCCAGCAGCAGGCTGTATATTCGAGAATACACTAAAGGATACCTAGTGTATATGGTGGTACGACCTTATGTGCCATAAGAGAATGTACTTAAGGATACCTAGTACAGATGGTGGACACGACCTTATGTGTCATACTCGGGATAGCACTATGGTGCTTATATTTGACTCGTGTACCCAAGATCCTCAGGGTTGTATATTGGGCTATTGTCTATTGTTTATGGTTATTTTCTATGGTATATGGTTATGGAATAATGGCAGTATATTGATAAAATAAGCTTATGAGCTTATGGAATTTAAATGGTAAGTATTTTGGTAAAATAAGCTTACGAGCTTATGGGATAAATAGTAAGGGATTTTATATTATTTTGATCATGGTAAAATATTAGTTATGTTAGTAAAATGACTTTATGGAAACTCGATTTTTGATATTGAAAATCATGCATGAATTGTATTGTACTGTTAAATGTTTAATTGCCTCACTAAGTTTATACTTAGCGTGTGATGATTTTCACGCGTATGTAAAAATCCAATAGAAGATTAAAAAGTTCAAAGTGACATAAAGCATCGAGAGGTATATTTCAATATCAGTAAGATATCCTACTATGGAATTTGATTTTAGATAGTGGCATGTAATTTGAAAATGTTCAATTTATTTGTTGAATAAATTTTGGAAATTTTTATAGTGATGAAAGTTAATTTTTATGAATTTATATGTATTTTAGGAAGCTACTGTAGCATGAACAGTAACTACGATTTTAAACAAAATTTTCTAGAATGATTTTGGGTACCTATTCCCCTACTGTTCATTGTCATTGTTCACTGTTCACTGTTCACGGGTATTGTTCACTATTCATTTAAATAAAATCTTTTGAATTAATTTGGTTACAACGAAACATAATTTTTATGATATGATATTTTTATAATATCATTTATCATTTTAAGAAAATAAATTTTAAATCGCTTTTTAATAAAAAAAAATAGATTTAATAATTCGAGTGACATTTATAATCTGTATAGATATAATTATAGGGATTATGAGTGTTACACTTTAATTAGCGCAATAAATATTATTACTCCCAAGTACCCATTTTGTTCAGAGAAGTCTAGTGGCAACAAGATTTTGAATATGGTAATAATACATTTTAATAGATAAAAGTCAATAAATATATTAGAAATCGAAATATGTAGACTGATTTAACATTTTTCTTATTAAAACAACACTAAAACCGCCTTATTATTTTCTGTTTTATCTACGTAATTTCATATTATTTAAAAAATGAGAAAAGGTTGAACAATATAACTTTTCTAATAAAATCACCACAAAATTAAGGAAAATTAGTGTCATTCCTTTTCTATTTCATGAAATTTCAATTACTTAAAATTTATAATTATTTATAAATAATAATGATGCATATTAAGCTAAATTCCATTTCAAATTTCTTTAAAAGATTTGAAATTATTCTTCTAAAAGACGGGTTCTATGTCTAATAATAATATTATTGATAACCTCATAAATTTCAATATTCCACATCTCTAAACAATAAACATATGAATGAATACCAATAAAAAATCTAAAAAATACATTAATAATTAGGGCCTTTTAAGACAGGAATAAATCAGCATCTTTTTTCAGCACCTTGGTGTTGTGTTACAAACATGATTACATACTAAAGAAACAAGAACACAACACCAAACAAATCTTCAACCATCAAAGCCTTTTCTATGGAGCTTGCACTCAAAATGCCAAAGAAAAATCCCCCAACCACTTATTTTTTCTTACCTTTTCCTTTCAACATAAAACATTGATCTATCTTTTCAATTCCGATGATGGTAGTAGGAGGTCTCTAGAGGATGACTTAAGTAGCGAAGATTTCTGCTTCCTCGACACCGAAGACAGGAAACTAAAGCTCGATCTCAGTCTCTTCTTCTCACTATCTTGCTGTTCGTAATTCGGATCGTGCTTTACTACTGAAGTTCTAAGGCCTTCAGGAAGGATGCAGTTGCACATTGAACCTGACACAGAGACAAGTTTGAGATGAGCAACAAATGCGAGATGGGAATACGCAGGTGACATATCAGAGAAATGATTTACAATCTTGCAAGATGCGGATTTAACAGTGTACCTATCCTTGCCAGTCGATTTACCCATTTAGGTATTCGTTTCCCAGTCAGTTTCTGACAAATATCATCACAGAAATGGTTGCAATTCTTGATGATCAAGTGATATGTATCTCCATTGTACCTTTCCGAGTAGCGCTCCATGAAATACCTTACCTGGACAGGGTCCAGTGTTGTGGTTCCAATGAACACCGATTTCTTAAACTTGAATCCCGGGCATTGTCGTGGCTCAACCTCGAAAACACCACTGGTTGGATAGTCATGAGCTCCAAATGCATATTCCACACCATGAACTACACAGAGTATAGGTAGAGTCATTAGAAAAGCGACAAGTAAAACTCAAGAACCCGATAGCAATGACATGATCGTCAAGTATGTATTTTGCATATTTAAGTGCATTGCAGTCATAAAATATTA